TTTTTGTTTTGGTTCATTACTAGCTTGGAACTGGACTTTCTTAAGCTCTCCTGAATTAACCAAACTTCTTCCCTGGAAGGCATTACCTAGACTTCTTGAGTTACAGTGCATGCTGCCTTGACCCTGAGGCCGCCCAGCCGTGCTGGTGACAACACTGGCACCAGAAGGTGCTATGACCTGCCCTTTGCAGCAGAAGCAGATGGGTGTAAGGCTGCCTGCAGTTGTGGCAGAAGAGGTTTGTTTGGCTGTTTGAGTAGCTAGATAACAAATAGTACCCACCTCCAACAAGGCAACAAGAAAAATGCATTGGGCCAGATGCCACTAAGCCATGGCTTGGGATCAGGTTCTGGACCACCCTGCATGTAAAGTGGTGCCCTGCCAGGCTGAAGGAGGCTCAATTCAGGCTTCTCTGAGCTGTTGGCCTGTGTTGCTGCCTGTTTCCAAGGGTGGCTTCTCTGAGAACAGAAACAAGGAGGTATTTAGCTTTTTACTCCAGAAATCTTTAAGTTGCACAGTTGTGCAGCTGGTAATCACCATCACCCAGGAGAGCCTGAGAAGATGCCATTCTTTTTTCTAATTATTATAAAACCTTTCAATCTGATTATTTCTTTCCTTGATGCATTTCCTCGTAATTTCTATTTATGAGGATGCTAAGGGTAAATTAGAGAATCTTTCCTGTGAAAAATACATTCTGCACTCTCCACAGGCCTGGTCTCTGGTGGCATCTCTGCATTCCTCATCACCCACCCAGGAGATGCTTTCAAAGCCAGGCTCTGATCCTGTCCTTTCTTTCAGACCGAAGATGTTGCTTGGAGCAGAACTGACAAATAAATACCTGTAACATGATGAAAGCATTGTCCATTTCTTTGTGCTGCAATGGCTGGGGTCAGAACAGGCTAAAACACATTTGCTACCTGGAGCTGTTTTACTTCCTTTGCAACTATGCATATTACTCCAGCCAGAGAAGTCAGACCCCAAAGAGGTCAAGGACACCACACAACTCTTTATGGCCATGGCACAGGTTGGCCTGATAGGGCAGCTGGGATCTCTTACCATGATTTGAGCACTAGGTGCTGTGTCACTGTCTCATGTGACATTTCAAGGACTTCAGATGAGAGTCCTTGGGGGTGAGGCATAAGAATAAAAAGTAGCTTTCTCCTGAAAACAGAAATTCTAGCATTGGTAAGGAGAAAAATACTTAGTGTGAAGGGAGAATTAGCCTGCTATCTATTACTGTCCATGCCACTGTTTTGCTAAGAGAGGCCAGGCTGCTCCCACTGGGAACATAGTATGCAAGGTACTCTAACTTCATTGCTTGGCACCATTTCAAACTAAAAATGAAGGTGAGTAGATGGTCTGTAATGGCCTCTGTGTACACTCAGGTCCCATGAACTAAAAGAGATGATTTGCACTCAGAAATGACCATTCCCACCAGAGCATCAGAAAACTTCAGAGAAAATCTCTCTTTTTTTTCCTTTTTTTTCTTTTTTTTTTTTGAGGGGGAGGGGGAGGGAAGAGGGAAGGAGAAAAAGAGTGAGACAGAGGAGCCTGAGGGGTAGGCATATATGGGAGTCATGGCCCAGCTCCCCATGAAGAGAGGGCAGGATCCTGATGGAGTCGGGGAGTGGCTATTCCTGCAAGTTTCCTCCTTCCCAGAACCCTGCCTGCACTTTGCTTGTTGGTGCTCTCCCCAACCCAAGGCAGCTGGGAGTTACTGCAAGCTCATCTTCTGCTGCAGAAAGAAATAAATCCATATTCTGGCTCTTGGAGCGGTTCCCAGAGTTTAGAGACTTTTTACCCAAGTCTTGCTATTTATTAGAAAGCTCTTTCATGGTCTATTTTCTTCTCTCCTTTTTAGCATTAAATTAATCATGCTCATTTGTCTCAGCTCGATGATAAACTAACAAGATGATAAACTACAAGATGCTGATTTTAAGAGCAAGTGAGGTGTGTGTGCTTCAGAGAGACATTGCCCTCTAGTGATTTGAAGGCAGGCAATGTAAAGGGACTAAAACATCACGAGGGTGATGTTGTAGGGTTTTATATGGCAGAGCAACACATTAAAATTGAAGTTTCAGACAGATGAAGGGATGCTGTCTGTGGTAAGGCCTGTGAACACCCTGCAGCTGTAAGGATGCCCTTAGCACCCACCATGAGCCTTCTCAGCATCTCTCATCTCAGCTAAGGCTCCCGCCCATGGCATAATAGTGAGGATCCCACATACCTCTCCTGCCCAGTCAACAGCTAGCAACAAGCTACTTGAACAAGCTACCTTTCATATACCTTGAAAAACACCCTCAGTTAGCACTCAGGCTGAGTACCATCATCTTGTGCAAAGGCAATAGTGGCCACGAGCTCAGCCATGAGTCAGCCAAAATTCTCTCAGAGGTGCAGTTTCATGTCTCGTGAACAGAGGGTTTCTGGAAACACTCATTGCACCCCAGTCTCATCACAAATATGCATTTTAATTCCTCCCTCTTTTGCTTAAGTGAGTGTTTTGGGAATGCCTGTTGTTCTCGAGTGCTGTGCTTCACATGGAAGCAAGAAGTTCCCTTTTGGCCACTGTTTGCCCCTTCTTGTTTTAAAGACAGTTAAGACGAGTTAAGAAGAAGTTAAGAAGAGAAAGCAAAACTGAGAAGTAAGCAAAAAGTCACTGTCAAACATAAAGAAATTATGAAGGTCAAGATTTCTCCTTCTGTCCCTGACAGTGCCTTTGGGAGTCAGCAAACACTCATGAAAGTAATGAAAAGGAGAGGGCGAACAAATGGTCATCACAGTCCTTCCAGATGCTCTGAACAAAGATAGAACTTTTGATTAAACCTACTTCAAGAAAGTCTGTATTTGTCAACATGATCACTTTTTGAAAAAAAGAAAAATAAAACTTATTCTGTAGCCAAAACACAATGTGATATCCTTTTTTTGGAAGAAAACCTTGGGATGAGGGCATGATTTTGCAATCAGACTGGGTGTATAAGTGAAAAGCTATTTGCAGAGAGTTTACTGTAATAAGAAATGTGACAAGTATATTTGGCAAGTTTTTTTTAGGTTTTTTTTTTGGGGGGGTTGTTGTTTTTTTGGGGGTTGTTTGGGTTTTTTGTTTGTTTTTTGTTTGGTTGTTTTTTTATCAGAGACCTCCTACACAACTCTCCCACAACCACAGAAAACTGCCTCACAAAATCCCCACACAGACCCAACCAGACCTGCACTAGATGATGTAAGATAGCATGTAGTATACCTCAAAGCTATGTCTGAGATGGAATTATTTCTTGTATTCTTCTACTTCAATGGATACACTAGTTCCTTTTGCAAAGAACTTCAAAGAACTCTTTTCCCTCACCCTTTGCTAGTGGCCAGCTGTGTTGTGTCTTGCTGTTCTGGAGAAAAAGCTGAGGGACTGTTCCCGTGTCTTTGTGGTCAGTAGCAACGTACTTTCCAGGGCAGATCTTTAGTTTTATATGATGACGAAGATATTTTCTGCAGCAGCATATGCTAGATGATGCACTTGCCTGTGTACCAACAAGAAAATGGAGCAAAAAAATGATCAGACTTGGCTCAGAGCAGGGTCCATCATTCTGTGCTTACTTGCTGGCTTTGCTGATTCACTCCTGGCTGTAAGAGGCTGCCACTCTGGCAGAACAGCGGAACGTCCCACGTCATGGTTCTGCAGCACACGGTGCATGCCCATGATTTTGCTTCATAGCAGGCTGTGAACCACAGCAACTGAGGGCTCCAGTATGCAGCTGCATCCAAGTTAAGATGTCACCACTGAAACATTTTTTTCACCCAGCAACAAAGGGAGATAAATTTAAGAGCCAGAACTAAATCCCAAAAGGTTCTTACATCAGAGCAGAAAAATATCAAACTTGGGATTAATAACTCCGAACGTTTTTCACTGTCCTTTCAAACTGCTTTTGTCCTCCTCTAACTTCAGAAGCCAGCCCTTCAACCACAATACAAACCCAAGACGAAACAGGAGACATTACTTCATTGCCACAGCTGCCTGACTCTGCTCGGCAGATTGGCATCTCCTTGGTCTTTGCTGAAACAGCTCAGGAAACAGGAAAGCCACAGTTTAACAGGAGGTGTCATCACAAAACTGACACTTGTGTCCCATTTAGAAAGGAGCCTGGAGAACAGAGGTTTCGCAAGAGAAGTTAACTGTTCAAAACAGTTCCAAACAATGCGGTTACCCATGTGGAAAGGTGACTTGGAGAGTATTCCCAGGTTCTGAGCAAGGAGGGTGCTGGTTTACATGGTAGGGTCAGGTCTGCACATGGTGGGATCTGATGCAAGAGACCAGTACAAGAATGACCACATAGCTGGAATCCTGCCTGGTCCATATCTACTCTGCTAAAGAACTGTAGAAGAAAGCCTCTTCCTATACTTAGGTGAGGGAAAGGCTAGAATAGAATAGATTAGAACAGAACTGAGTATATCAGTTGGAAGGGACCTATAACAATCAATCACCCAGTCCAACTACCCTTCCAGGCTGACTAAAAGCTAAAGCATGTTGTCCAAATGCCTCTCAAACATGCTTGGGGCATCGACCACCCCTCTAAGAAGCTTTGAGCCATTTCCACGTGTCCTACCGCTGGATTCCAGGGAGAAGGGATCAGCACCTCCCTCTCCCCTTCCCCTTCCCCTCCCCAGGGAGCTGGAGAGAGCCATCTCTCCATCTCTCTAAACTTGACAAGCCCAAAGTTCTCAGCCCGCTCCTCACAGGACATGCCTGCCAGCCCTTCCACCAGGTTTGTTACGCTCTGGACGCATTCCAGGAGGTTCCTGTCCCTCTGAAGTGGCGGCAGCAGGGACCAGGCCAGAGTGCAGAGGCGGCGCTGAAGACGCGTGGTCACACCACAGTCTGGCACATGGGGGAGACGCTGCGCCACGGATGCTGCTCGAGCAGCAAATCCTCTCTGCCACCCGCCTTGGCAAAGGAGAGACTGGCATACTTTCCTACACAGGTGTAACAAGGAAGAAAAAAAAGAAAAAAAGCCAACTTTGGTTTAGTTTCACTGATTTAATAACATTAAAACCAGCATTCTTTACACTCATTCTACAACTCTGTTCTTTTGAAAGATTTAAATTGATTTTCTTTCTAAACATCCATAATATTAAAAGCACTGGGGGGGGGGGGGAGTTGGAGCTAACAGCCTTTGAAAAATATTCTCCTTCTGTACGGCACCCAAAAAATACATGGGTGCTAAAAACTAGGGAAAGACCTGCTCCTCCTCCAGCCTGCTGGATAGAGTCAGGAATGGGAGTGAAATCTGCTCTGGCAAAGCCTCGTGGTTGTATGGCACTAACACAACTGGCAAGACAAACAAGAAGAAAACATATTTGAAGCAACTGGAAGAAAAATATAAGTGCAGGAGAGAAAAATGAAGAGGAGGCAAACCCCCACTGTTCCTCCTCTTGCTTTTGTTGAGCTATTCAACACTAGCAGCATGGTTGTCTTCTTACTGGAGCAGGGTCCCATTGAATTGGAGATGGAGACTTCAAAGTGCCTCCAAGAAAGCTTCCAGCTTTGGACACCTCAGAAATGTTCCTGTGTTCTTCTGCAGCGCTGGCCTGTGAGGCAAGCAGGCAATTAAACCCGCTGTCCTTGTGAGGAAGGCAATTGCAGCAACAATACACGTGCTAAATTAGAGAGGCGATAGGCAGCAGAGCGAGACTCCTTTGCACTGCTTTCTGCTTAAGTGCCACAAGACTAGAGTCAGAGAACAAGGCAGTTGCCTGTTCTGACTGACACGAAGTTGGGTTTCACTGGCTGTAGCTTCCAGGCAGGCTGTCACAGTTGAAAGCAAATTAGATCAGCTGGGCATCAAGCGATACCTTCCATCAGTTTTCACCGCCCACTGCTGCCAGCTTGACACTTCTCTTTCATGCTGCATGTGCCAACTGTCTTACAAAGCCAGCTGCAACATCTACTGGAAGGACATGAAGAACAACTGCAGGTGGGGAGAGGAGGTGGGGGATTGGCTCAGGGTTGGGGTGAGGAGACCTTTGCCTGCCTCAGTCCAGGCAGAAGACTGGGTTCTCCAAGAAGACTGCAAGCTTGCTGGCCACCAGGTCCAGGTCACTGGTGTTGGCATATTTGAGCAGATTGGTGTTCTTGAGAAAGTAATGCTTGAGGAAGTGCTGGCTTACACACTTGTGCAACTTCTGTACCAGCCTCAGAAAGGCTTCAGGGAAGCAGCGCCAATCCTTGGTGCGTGGGTATTTTTCACACGTCCAGAATAGCACTGTCTGCAAGAAGCAGATGGGAGAGAAGATGTGTTAGAGGTTCTGTCGAGGGCTCACACAGCTTACTAAGGCAGTTTTAGTGCTGGTAAATGGCTGACAGCCTTGGAAATCAGAGAGGCTCGTGCTGCTATCTCTCTGTGTTAACATTTCTGCAACGGAGGGGATCACAGTTAAAGCCTCTTCTAGGGACCAGGCAGAGCAACTCTGACATGCCTGGTTAGGATCTCTCCCCAGAGGAGCCCCACTGACTGAGCCAGGAGCCCATGGAAAATGATCTTGCTAAAATAATCTTAGCCTATTTACCATCCTCCAGCAGGAGCCTCTGTAGAAATGCCAGGCATTTTAGGCTGTAGAAAATGGCCCATTATGCAAGTGTAGAAGCCAGTAGGTGCAAGGAGGGAGGAAAGCTTAATGAGATTAACATAATTATTTGTTAGCTTCAGCTGTATTTGTGCTGAAGATGCACACAGATCTGCATCCTAAACAGACTGGCATTCCAAGCAGCTCCTGCAGGTGCAATGCTTGCTATCTGGTCAAGTGCTGCCTCTTTTTTTCTGACATGTGATACTTACAGCATGTCTTATGTTCTATTCCCCCAAGTTTATTTTACGTGATTTTACATTTGAGAAATATGTAGTTAAAATAACAAAATGTCTGTGATTATTGTTCTTACAGTATTATTTTTACACTGCCTTTGTTGCATTTTTTCAGACTTTCCCATGACTGAGAAGAATTTTCTTGAGGTACTTACACTACTGTACTGAAAAAGCCATACTGACTGCCTCAGTCAACCTGAAATCACTTTTTAAAGTACTAAGTCACCTATCCTGGATTCAATAATTCTGCTAAGTTCCTTATCTGTCCTCTGAATCCCAATTTTATTTTGCAGATTCAGCAACCCAAAAAGAGAACTACACATACTGTGAGAAGTGGTTGAACTACAGTATTCAACTCTTCTGTTTCTACAGAGGTAGAATTTCATCTATAGTTGTATTGCTGACAAATTTCTTCCCAGACAGCTTTTCAAATGTGAACAATTTCTTTGTTCACAGCTGCAATAACCACAAAGCCTTTTTTTAATGTAACCAGGGAAGAAAGATACAGTGAGGAATTCAAGCTATAACTCTGTGAGAGCTATTCATCGAAGACTTGCAGAGCAGCTAACTTCTGTCACACTAAATCTACTTCAGCAAGACCCATGGGCAGCAGTTGCAATGAAGTTTCTGGAAGCAAGGGAAATAGTGTTGCTTTTCCAGTCAGGTGCCAAACAGGTGATTTATCCCCAGAATTTATGGAACTGTCCCTCACTGCCAGCTGTCTACCAGCAGCACAGAGTTGGTTTTCAAAATGTACCTAGGTCTTTCTGAACTACCACATCTTGAACTTCATTCCTATGGAGGTAAGCATAATGAGTGCTCTTACTTGGTCCTCTAAGCCTTTCTAAGTTTCTGGGGGAAGGATTTCCTCTGTCATAGAGGGTCTTTCTCATATAGAGTCTTGTTTAATCCTAGTTGTTGGATAGCTCTGTTGGGGGAAACCTGAGAATGGGAAGAAACCTAACACTAAGCCTCTGCTCAACTGCTGGTTTATCCAGTGACTGTTTCTCTCATTTTACTTTCTTTTTTTTTTCTTTTTTTTCTGTTTAATGTAAGTAATTTTGAAAAATTGTAAACCAATCCTCTCTTGCAGTAAAAGCCTCAAGTACAGTAACAGTAAAGAGCTGAAGAGCTTCTAAATAGCTTTTTATTTTGATCATGAATCTGTGCAACAGCACTTCCTGCACATCTGCTTCATCAGCCAGAGAAAAAAAATGTTGCTGATGGTTAAATGGTTTTCCACTTTCTCCTATCTATGACAGTTTTTCCAGGAGGTTGTTCTTACAGGCACTGAGAAGTTTTACATTCTGCTAAGCTATAATCAGCCTCGTCATCTCTTTTTTGACTCCATCTTGACTTGGAGTAGTGCCCTGCGTATTAACAGCATTTGATGGTCACAAGCTTTTTGTTTAGGAGAAATCTTGGCATTGCATCTGGTTTTGGACACCAAAATATCAGTAAGTACTGTGGAAAGCTGACAGCTTGAGGCTTCAAGGTGTGAAAAGTACAGCTGCTCCCTGGCAACTCCAGGAGGGTGGAGACCCAGAAAACAGGATTGCTCTACAGTCTGGTGCTGCCCTTGGCCCATCAGTATCTGTAGCTGTCAGACGTGGGGACACAGTCGTAGCAGAGTCTTCCATCTCTTCTTCACAAATCTTGTTTGAAGCCATCTTGAACCCTGAAGTAGGTGCAGGGAGGATGCTACCACCCCTTTCTTTCTTCCCTTCCTACCCCAGGTGAAACACCACCAGAACTGCAGTTTGCACCTAATTCATTAATAGTGCTCACCTAAGACAGTTTTGTTGGTGCACATCCACAGATAGATGGATATAGATGGCTATAAAACTATCACACTGAGATAGTCAAGAAGCAGGAGGTAAGTATGCAATTACAGACAACAGTACAATGCCTATGTGAAGTCAAAACAGAGCAGGGGCCTCAACTCTAACATTATTTATATTGCTGCAATCATAATGTTGAAGTTTGGAAAACATATATTTCCTGAACTTCTTGCCACTGTAAAGCAATGAAAAGGTACTGCAGTTTTGACAGCTACCTTAGAAGTTACACAGGTGCTACAGTGATTTACACCACAATATTTTGACATTACTGGATGGAAGGCACTGCAACTGCTACTGCAACTGTATGTTGATATCACAGTGATGCCTACCTGAAGGTGATAAGCTGTGATGACAGGCTTATTTCTAGCACACCAGACATCCTCCTTCATCTGCCTCATGACCCTGAAGCACTTCATGCGACAACCACCATCTTCATCAAGTCCTTCCATGAGTATGTGCTCAGCACGGGAGAAGCACAGCTGCCAGTGATAATTGGAGCGGGCCAAAAGGTCGAAACCCAGTGACTGTGAACAAAAGGGGAAGTGTGACAGCAGATCAGAGGCAAACTTCTCTGAGCAATGCAGAGAGATGTTACAAAAAGGATGTGTGACATCTCTCAAAGCGTGTTCTAAACAGGGTTAGCAGAGGCAGCAAATGAGGCGTGCTCACACCCTAATTCTGAGTCGAATAAACATGCATTTTGTATTGTTTCCTCGTGTGCTGGTATCAGTTACTCCCAAGACATCCTGCTCTAGAGCCATCAGGTACAGTACCAGCAGTGCCACTAAAGCAGAGGTGCAGCTCTGCAGGCACTTTGCTGTGGAACTCATGCAGGTTGTGCATGAGTGTGGAGCAGTCCTGGAAAGTGGAATGGGACCTGCAGAAACATGGCAACTGGGGCTGAGCCGGAGTGCCAGAATCCAGCGACGACTGTTGTAGGGAAAGGTGAGATTAGGCTGGAGTTGCAAGTGCTGAAGGCTTATATGAGGCAGAGCAGAACAGCAAAAATGATGCATGTCAGCAATGGCAGAGCTGTGTGCAAGAGACTCATGCAATAAATTGTTAACTCAGGTTTTCTTCTATAGAATTCACCACTGTAAGTGGGATAAAAATCCAAATAAAATCCAAATAAAATCTGACAGAATATTCTGAAACACTTCACTAGAGAATACATCTTCCAGCCCTGCTGTTGCCTGCAATCACCATGCAGTTCTTCCTTTGGGAAGTGACTGTCACCTGAGAGGTAAGTTCCAGCACAGAGTTAATAGTTCTTTATACACTGTTTACCTTGATGCACCGCACTTTTTCCTGAGAAGGCCAACGCTTGAGGCAACGAGGCCACCGGGCCTTCTCGGGCCAGCAAGTTGGAATCTCCACAGCAGGGACCAGCTCCACCTCAACCTGGGATTCTGATGTCTCCACAGCCACCCGGACCACTGAGCTGAAGCTCTCCAGCACCGTCACTTTACCTGTGAAGGAACAACAAGAGAAGATAATATAAATGAAAAGGTCCTTTTCTACAAGCCAACCTTGTAGATCTTGCAGTTCTATTGGTCTGTCTTAACACTTCCTCTTCAATGCCATAAGCAGAATCTAAGAAGAACTTAAATCTATCTAAATCTATCCTGGTGAACAAGAATAGGAAGAAGATGAAAGACCAACTAAGTTCTCAATTTTACATTCAATTACCATGCTTTTGTTTTCCTTTGTGGGTCCTCTTAAATCCTAGGATCAGCTTCTTAAAAATACAGCTAGATGACTGGTGCAACCTAACATTTCTAATGGTACAGTACAAGGAGATCACTGCAGTTTAGAGAGGACCAGATGAACGCTTCATATCTAAAGATGTTCTTATTCCTTCAGAGAACCTGAGATCAAACCCTTGCCATATCACACTTACCACTGCCAGTCATTCAGAATGTTTTGTGGAGTATCTGTAAGTTTTGTTTCTGGAGATGCACTTGCACAGAATTTATGGGCTGTTGTGCAGAGTAGTCATATAAAAAAGGCTAACTGATAGATCGTGGGGATGCAGAGTGTCAAAAAGAGCTACTTCTGAGGTGATTTGGAGGAAGGAAGTTTCTTCAGTGTGAAAGAAGAGTGGCTCATCTCCAAGAACAACATGCTCTAAGAGTGCAGAAAGGAAAGAAAGCTGCAACTAATGGACTTTGAGATTGTTTCCCATTGGTTCAGCTGTGTTCATAGAAGAAGTTGCTGTCCCCAGCTTTCCCAGTCACTCTGGTAGGATCACTGTCCCTTCAGCTCTGCTCCTAAACCACTGCAGTAGAAGACTGAGCAGGTTAACAAAAGCAGTTTAAATAGCAGTGTGTTAGTGCCTCATTTTGATTGGCATGGATTAAGGAGCTATTCCACAAGGAGCCCACATACCAGACTTGAAGGGACAGTGATGAACATTTGGGAGGGCAACCTTTTCTGCCCTTACAGAGGAAATATCTGCCTAACCCCAGTTTAGCATCTCCTCCAGAAAGCACTGGGTGAATTACCTTGCAAATAGTAGAGTCCATCCCAACCAGAACTTCATAACCCTCAGTAAAATTTGCATGTTACTTTCCTGCTGAGGCAAGCCTGGCACAAAACCAGGAACTATACTGCTCCCAAGCTCTCAGCAAGGATCCCCAGCAGCTGAAAAGTGTTAAAGCAACTGCTGTGTCAGCATGTAAATATGTTCACGGCATTTCCAAAAGCATTCCAATTGTGATACCTATTTTTCCACCAATGAAAAGTGAGACACCTCAAAAACTGGCTTTGCTGATGCTCAAAGAATTAAAAACCAGGAAAGCAATGAAACCAGGGAAATTTTTCTGTAACTTTAGCCGTACTATGTGATGAAGGAAATTCATTCTTCACAGAAGCAAACAAAAATGGTAATTGCTTCTCCTGAGTTCATCTTAGCTCATTCCTCCCAGTGTGTCTTACAAAAAAGCACCACAATCATCAGCCCAAACATTATGCTTTGGGTTCCTTGAAGTAATTCTCCTGTCACAACAAGTTGATGTATTGCTGCTAGACACAGTGGCAGGTTTTCACTTCAATACAGTAACTTTCACATAAGTAAAGCTTCAGAGACAAGCCCATTCCCGTTGGTCTTTTCCATGAGCCTTGAAATTTCATTCCCATCCACCTTTCCATTTCTATAATAACAAATATTTCTTGAAAAAATGCCATTATCTAGTTGAGCTTGTCTTTAGCATGTTCTCTCACAATTCAGAGTGCAATCAGATAGTGGATATGGCTCCTATTGCTCTGAAATACAGAAGATCCCTATTAGGCTGCTGATGAGTAAGGAGTCATCCTGGAAACATGCCATGAAAAGAGGCACCACAGTCTGGATTTAATCATGCCCCAGTATCTTAATGTGAAAAGATGGACATAGACTATGTAGCTTGGACCAAGCCAAACTGTCAGTAGCTGAATTCTATAACATGCCTCTAGGATGCTAAGAATTAAATCCGAGGATCACTGTTCAGCAGCATCTTGATACAGATGTTGCAGTTGTCAAGACATGTTCTGTGCACCACTCACCACGTTATGTTAGTGAACAGCACTTCAGTATAAACAGTCACAGGAAATAAACAGGCACTTTGGATTGCTCACAGAGGCTGCAGCTCCACTACTGAAAGTAAACTTCCTGAATCTACTTCCAGAACAGGACTGGAGTAGCCTGGACACTGGGAAAGGAGCATTTGTCTAACACACTTTGCCTAAAGTAGAAGTCCTACTTAGTTCCCACCAGTCCATGCTGGAAAGCTATGGGCAGCTAAGGTTTTCCCAGAAAACTATCTGCTCGTAAGTATCTTCAAACACGTTCTCCTCAGACTTATGCACCCTCCCTGTATCAAATTTTCGTATACTACCTTCCTTGATAGTATAAATATATTGCAGCTGCTGTAGTAGAAAAAGACTTTTTTTCCCAAACAAATTCCTAAATGTTCTAAAAATTTGGGCTGCCTCTTGGTTGAACTGTGAGAGTGATGTTTCTGGAGACCCTACTCAAATTTCTAAGAAAGCAGTAACACCTTGGGTATGAAGAGCCCGAGAATTACTTAATTCTATCTTTAATGCAGGTCTACATGCATCACCTAAAGGCTTCCTGATTTTGGAGGGATTTGCTATTTCTTGGCTTCTGATCATGTGAGCCAAACAAACACTTTGTGTGTATGATGGTTTCCCTTATACCTGTCCCCACTAAACTCACTGGAGAGGTTACAGGAGATAATCGACTTCTCCACCAGCTCCCGGAAGACGATAAGGACTTTGGCTGGAACCAGATCACCTTCGATGTTCACATCCTCTTCATGCCACTGCTGAAGGCTTTTTGAGAACTGCTCCACCTCTAGCCATTGATGCAATTCCTCAGGGTCCCGCACGGAGGAGAGGAGCTTGGCTCCATTTACGGTGTAATAACGCCAGTGCCGTACCTGGCATTCCCTGTACCCAGTCAGGCCACGCAGAGGGACTGTGATGAGGAACTGGCTGGGTGCTAAGACCTGGGAGAGTTCAGAGAGATTGAGAGAGGAGACAAGGGAAGATCCATGAGCCTGAAGTAAGGAAAAGGGGGTTAAGGAAGTAATAGGTAAAACTGGGGGCTTTGGAGAAAAGGAAAAGCCAAGGTATGATGGGAACAATTGAACATAGCCAGGACCTGTTCCGTACCTGTCTCTGAGAATTACTTTGTGGGTACACAGATTAAAAGGAAATTGTCTTAGAAGGAGTCTGATGTGACAGCCATGGCCCTTAGAACGCAAGAGCTCACTGACTGATTTGCCACCACATGGTTTCCCCCTTTTTGTGTTATTTCTAGTCTGCAATTGCATGAGATATAATAACTGGCAGCTTCCAAGGAGCAGGAAAGCATCAGAGTATGTTTTGAGATACAGCAAAGGGAAACAAAATAGTGCAATTTATTTCCTCAGAATTGTTACTTGAGAGTTCAATATTAATAATAACTATGGCAAAAAGTGCACCTTTCTGATCTCTGTCAAAGTCCACTACAGACATTAGTAAAATAAGACTATGGGTCATTAATTTTACAAGTGTTTCACTCTGTATGATTGTCCTTTAAAAAGACAGAGACATAAGGCAAGTGATATGCCTGAGCCTACAGAGGCAGTGGCATTTGCAGAAATAAGCTCAGGTCTTGGCCAGTTCTACTGTATGGAACTGCATCTCCTGCTGAGCATAGGATAAAAACAGTGTAAGGATGGAGGCAGCAACCAATGGGAAAGGAACCCTCAATAGGCTTGTTTTCAAGACATCTAATTTGCCTCATTTTGGGAATGACCATTTTCCAATAAAACCAGTGCTAAGCCAATATTTGCAAAGAAAGAATAAGATGACACAAATACCTTGAAACTTCATACTGGCCCAGGGCATAGCCAGACATCTCAAAATGCTAGTTTGGAAGCATCTGGCAGTTGTGGCTCCAGAAAGGGTATTCAAACTCCTTCAGATTTTACTGTGTTGGCTCAGGAGCCTTTCAAGTCCACTTGCTACCAAGCCTAACTTACATTGGCATAAATAAGGTAAAACTGCTGCACGAGCAGAATGTGAAGTGACAGCTGTTGCTGTGAGGTGGGTACACCCAAGGTGAACGAAACACGCTTGTCACTCTCCTGTAATAACCCAAAACACTCTGGTAGCCTTCCTGGTAGGTCAGCTGATTTAAAATATTACCACAGAGGTGCCAAGGCCCTGAGGGCACTAACAGGCTTTAATGGCCCTAAGCAGCCTCTCCAGGACTTCTACCCACAGCATCTGCCCGTGGGTCTGGGACCCCCATTTCAGCTGAACCCTGGGCTATATCATAGGAATGCTGGTCTCCAACTGTGTGACAGCTATGCCTGTGCTGGCCATAGACTTTGTTGTCCTATCTGCAGACTGCCTTCCCAGCCTGGCCTCAGACTTACCTGGCCACTCTGGGCTTGCCTGGCAATCAGTAGACTGCATCTGACCCTGGTTAATATCGTTGGAGCTGATCCTGACCCTGGTGAGTGCTCCTGGCTTGACTTCAGCAGACTTACCTGATGACCTGCCTTATCAGCAGACTTACCTGATGACCCAGACTCTTGGTTGACCCAGCTGCCCTCCCTAGGTCTGCCTCACTCGAGCACCACAAGGCAGAAGCTGCCTTGTTATGCTCACCTCCCACCTCCCTCCCCCATAGGGAGCAGCTGGTTTTCTCTGCTCCCTGGCAAGAGATTTGAAGTACGAAAGATGACCAGCAAGAAGCACAGAAATGGCAAAGGAAACACCAGAAAGCTGCTCTTTTGTCAAGTAAAAACCGTAAAGGCAGGAGGATACTGGAAAGATGACATTTCACATCAGGCTGACCTGTACCTGTCAGGTTTGGTGGGGTTGAGTAATCCTGCGAGCAGCTCAGAAACAGAGTGCAAGGCTCCATAAGGAAAAAATACAATGGTTGTCATGCAGTTACTGCTTATCTCATTGCCTCAGCCACATCTGCAGATAAACCCCCATTCCTTCCCATACCAGGATGCTGTGTTGTACACACTGGCACCCAACAGATCGTAAAGTGAAGAGCTGAAGGTGTTATGTGAGTGCCTGCAAATGCAAGTCACAGGGTCCTCCACCTGGGGCTTACCAGGAAACAACAGAAGACAAAAGGCTGGGGATGGCACTGTAAAGCTGGGCAGCTGGTGTCCTCTTGGCCTAAACAAATCCTAGTCCTACACCTATGCTCTGTCACATGATGGTCTTATGTGCTATATGCAGATCATGGACCCCAGCAAGTCACAGGCTTGATCAAGAGCCTCGAATTCTGGGGTGTGTAAATTATAGCCTATTGTGCTGCATTAAAAACCTGTCTGAAGTTTGCTGGGCAAACTAAATACAACCTCATTCTTGCAGTCCTGGCCAGGATGTTCCAGGGAGGCAGAAGCTTTAGGTTAGAAAGAAAATAGTTATGCTTTGAGAAAAAAAAAAACCAAGGGAAGTCTCTTGTGGAGAGGATGAAATAGTTGTGGGAGGATCAGTTAGGGGGGTGAAGTTGTCCGGAGAAGAGGGTCGGTGAGGAGGAAGCAGGCATATGGACTGTCAGGCACCAGGTGGCAGGAAGGCTTTGTACCTGGATAGATGGGTGGAATGGGCGCTTCCTCCGAAGCATAGCTGACCACTTGGCCAGTAAAGCTGGCTGATCCTGAGAGAAGCAGAAAGGAAAACAAGAAGTACGCAAGAAGAGCAGAGAGAAAGCATGTGCCAGGTCATTCATTCACAGAGCAAAGCTGCAAGCTTCCTTGGAGCCTGTTTTTTAAAGGAAAATCTCCCCCCTGCCCCCATTGTGATTACAGAGTTAAACATTTGGCAATGCCATTGGGCAGTGCTGCACGAGTGATTAGTCTGGACCCTAACCTGTTCATTACGCCTTACTGAAGCCTCCACAGCTTTTGCACCAGCCTTGCACCATTGACAGCTGCAAAAATGGTGGGCCACAACTAAAACAAATACTTAAAATAAGGTGGGTTTGTCCACGTGAATTTTAATTCAAGTTGTTTATTAAAGACTGACTTTTTGTTGTGTGGGTTACAGAGAAACACTGAATATCTAAAGACTTTTCTTATATATTCTCCTCTTAGCCATGCATATTTAGAAGGAAGTTTGTGGTTTCTCAATAAATCCAGACCTCTCACCGTGCTAAATTGATTCCTTTTAACCAGAAGCTGAAAGTTCAGAAAAGTCACTGCAACCAGAAGCTGAAAGTTCTGAAAAGTTCTTCAAATTTAACTGACAGAAAGAAAAATGTTGCAAATTTAAACACAGAATAATGAATACATTGACTTTCCCTTGACACAAGTCTCCTCTAGGTTAAATTATGTCAGCAAGAATATCAAGGTTTCCAATTTTTGAAAGCAGACAGCCCAAGCCAAAGTAATTTCTCATCAACCCATTCTTCGTTGCCCTATATATACAGGACAAAAGTTAGTCAGGCCCTCCTAGTGTTACTTCCACAGATTTATAACACTGGATTCAGTTAAGTATGAATAACAAATCTGCCACTTTTTAAGAAAATATATTTTGAGGATTTCTCCCAAGCAGAAATTGTTCAGATCAGCCTACTGTAACTCCAAATTACTGCTCAGAATAGATTGCCTTGGTGGTTTTGTTCTGCTTTGTTTTCCAGAACAACAATTTTTCCCTGACCCTGGTCCTGTCAGACCTCATTAGCTAAGCAGGTTTGTTCCAGCACAAGAGGTGGTTGGCAGACTCTGGCACTAAGGAACACGTGGACCAGGATGTGGTTTTACGTCACTGTGGTCATACCTATTGACAAGGCCACGTGCCCTGGGATACATGAAATTCCAGAAAAGCTATAAATCTGAATGTCTTTGTTCCCAGGACAATAGCCATATTGCCAACTGGGTGATTATATTTCGCCTCCACCTCCATAACCTTCCAGCAGCTTGGTACACACAGACTTCTTCCCTAGAGAAGCTCCTAGAGAGCTGAAAAATGCTTTTACATGTTTGTTGTGTTTTGATCTGTAACTGGCTGCATTTTAGTATAAGGTTGACACTGCTAGAGTATGTAAAAACTAATTTAGATGAAAAAGATAATTTTCATCAGAAGTTGCCATTGCTGTGACTGTTTCTTATATCTTTTATCTTATCTTTCTTAATTACTCTTGTATTACATAGCCACAGGAAATAACTAAACAACCAGTCTTCATCTGTCTCATTATTATTTTCATATTTGAAGGTCTAAAATGGGGAGGCATTTAATTTCTCCCACTAATAAGCATATTTGTTCCAAGTTAAAAAGAAATTCCAATCTATGACAAAAACTCCCCATTTTTCTGAAGGAGTTTTCTAATGTTCATAGCAGAAGGACTTTTGATTTTCCTTTCTTTTTTTTTAGTGAGTTGACAGGTTTTCCACCTGTGAAAAATATGAGTCATAGCTCATGGAGGCATGAGGATTTTTTCTTATGTTACTGCTGTACAAGTTTTTCTTTCTGTCTCCCAAAGAACTTTGCCTTCTGCTGCAGACTGACAGCTCTAGCAACAGATGCTCTTTGTAAACACAGTAGCTGTAAAAAGAGGCTCTGCCTGATTTACTCATCCCTCTCTGATCTCCTAATTGTAAGATGTCCACGAGAGTAAGCCTCTATAACCCAGTCACTAGAACTCCCACAGTGAAGCGTCAGCACGTTGTCTGTGGTGTTTTGGGTGAGGTACCTGCCCATACAATGGAGAAATCATTTACTGATTGCCTGCAGGCTGCCAGAGTATATCAGGGCTCTTGTTCATACCTTAATGTTCTCATTGTGAATGCCAGAGTTGGAGATAGCCTGGAATCGTATGGCCTTATGGCTGATTTCTGTGGTCAGCTGCTGGATGATTTTCTGCACTTCCTCCACTGCTTTGGAAACCAGGTGATGTCGCCGTTCCACCTGTCAGTTCCAGGAAAGACACTTCATGTTACAGGTAACTCCAGTGTTTGTCTCCAGTAGGGAACAGTCAACTAGCTTAAAGCATCCTGAAACATTTGTGTCTGTGCTGCACTGGGAAAAAAACTTACTGTTTCCTGTGTGTTGCAACTGATTTACCATAAGACAGAGCTGGTAAACATCACAGGGCCAATATTCAAGACTACCAACCATTAATTGATATTTCCATGCCAATACCATTAGATAGAAGGAAAAGAGTTCATTACATGGATAAATTTGTTATCAACCAGTTACAGTCTCATTCTTTATCCATTTGATGCCAGTTATTCCCATGCATATACTAGCCATTGTCGGAGCCAGGATATGTTTCGTTCTAAGAGCTGAGAACACTTCAAGAGTTACAGATACTCTGTGCATTAGTCAGGTGTCAGGTTTATGCAGCATCATTTAGATGCCTACATTATACATTGGAAGTATCCATACTCTCTTCATAGCTGAAGTACAGATGAGAGTCTACTCCTAGATGGTGAACAAGCATCTTTCCAAAGCTGGTCCCATTGGGAACTAGGTGTTTGTGTGACTCAATGGATAATTCTTCAATTCAAGTAGGAGTAGCAAAATTATTTACTGAAAATTATTTCAGTGGAAAGTCTGAGTCTTGAAAGGACTGAGGTGAGGGATGAACAACTCAGAAAAATATTAAGATGAACCTTCACCTTCATACATGACTAAAGATGAATGGAGCGCAAGGGGATGGTCACAATCTGAACAAGGAGACTCAACAGGAGGAACATGAGAGAAACCATGTTAGTAAAGGATATTTAATATTTCTCAAATATCCTTACACATTTAACAAAGTGAGGAGATTATGTTAATGAAATTCATGAACATATTCATCATTACTTATTCATCCAGAATTACCTACACAGAGTGAGATATTAAGACTGTTTACTGTCCTTTTTTTGCATCCTATGCTTTATCTCATTTGATTGTAACTTTTGCTTTCTTCTTGATTTTTCTTTTTCCTCACCAT